TGCTGGACATAGACCTCCCCCACAGCTTACCATAAGGATCAGTCCCGAACCACCCGCATTCATTGTATATACTTACATGGAAGATAGCGGCATAGTGAGCACTGCTCACTTCACTTACAGTTTCCCAAAATATGTAGTGAGCTATAGATTTATTTTACAAACTTAAAATTTTTAAACAAAATTTAAAAAATGTATCTAATTTATCATTAAAAATATCAATATCTGAATGCTGAGCAATCAGAGAATTGAGCAAAGAAATAGCCTGATTAGTGGGAACAAACTGCGAGCAGTACAGGTGCGAACCAGTGGTACCAATAGTAATCGACATGTACACTATTGCATGCATCGTTGGGGTGCGTACAAAGAACAACAACTGAGAGTTGCAGGATTGTCCATTCTGCCGTTGAGCAACAAATAATCAGGCACCATCAAATTACACTTTCGTCTTACCTCATGGCTTGTGCAAAACGGTATAAAAAAAGAGGATTCACAGTTGCCAAAATTTCAACCGAATAATATAAATAAGTACACTACAATTATATTAATCAATGTAATGGCAATACTCCATTGCTAACGAACCCTAAAGCCGGCAGTTTAATCTTTCCGCCACTATAAATCAAGTATGATATCGCTCCGTTTTAAACATTCCGTTTGCATAACTAAACGCGTTAAATAACAAAAAGTTAATACTTTTTTGTCACTTGTTATTTCGTGTTAACATATGGACGGTACCGTTATCTTATTATATCATTTTTCAAGGATATAAATAAACGTGCTATATTGTTTTTTTTTTATTTCACATATATAAAGCCTTTTAAAGATTTTGTGTAAATTATTTAAAATGTAGCGGATATTGTTTTTAATCCAGCTAGTATTTTGCAAAGAAATATGTACGGCCTACGATAATAAAAAAAATATCTTTCGTCAATAGTCTATATCTACTCCGTACCTTTCTGTATTCGATCAAATAAAGTTACCATTAATTCGTTCATTCATTCATTTATACCTTATTGCAAGGTGCTGGCGATAAGTCACTAAAACTAATTTTGCTATCTAAATCTTCATTAAGGAATCAGTTATAAAGATTTAACAGCTACTAAAAAGGAAAGTACATGTCAAACTAGACTGTATGGGCTTTGTTTCCTTTGCTTATCCTTTTTAAAAAGGATGTAGAAGAAAAAATAACAGCGTAAAAATAATAACATTACAAACGGGTTCTTCTTTTCGACATTGTATATTGGATAACCAATAATCAATATATTTATTACGGTTCTAATATATGTATAGAGGGTGCGGGGAAGGGATTGTTAGCAATGGAGTTTGACAGTCCCATTGCTAACAATATGCCCTATTAGGTCGACCTCCACGTAGTTCCCCCTGGAAACCATCGTGAACAATTCTTGTTAAATTCGTCACAATGGGCTAACTGACCTGCTTCATCCTCACCTATCATCTTTCACTGGTGCCCCGCCGGTGTATACCGATAGCGCGGGTGGGGTTGCCATTCCATAATATCCCACCTATGTTCAAAGATAAATATTAAATTATTTCATTTTGCAAAGAAAAAAACCACAGCTACGATTGCCACAAAATTAAAATATGAACTGTAAATAATCAGTGAAAAAAAATACAAAATGGTACAACATTTCACAATTATATTTTTATATAATATCTGACTGGTTTCGCCTTACGGCTTTCTCAAAAGTCCACATCAATACGTGCAATTACGCGATACTCTGTGTAAACTGTATATTCCATCATCCAAGTCTATCTATTAAACTCTAGTCTAAAAAAATTATACAAAAAAATTGTTGTAGACATTTTGTTTTTACTAGGGGTACTTTATGGTGGAGGGATGGGCAGCAGCGTAACTTTTAAATCATCATAATATCCTAATTATGATTGCCAATCCACCTACCAGGCCTGGCAACCACTGGCAAAACTCCCCTTATGGGGAAGGCAAATGTTCAGCAATCCCTAAAATAAAAAAAAACATAAAAAAACCTTTGGGACCTTAGAAGCTGGGGTAGTGAATCACTATGTAACGCTCTCAAGCGCAGTAGCAAGAAATTTATAGTGAAACTGTGAAAGTAATGCGTTCACATGAATAATGTATGTATGTACGTCTGCGATGCCGCAAGCCGGCAACTTCCGAAATTATTGCACTGAAATGCAAATTGTAACAATGGGGAAAATTGAATTGTATTACTCACTAATAAATGACTAAATGAAATAAATGCATATTTATTATTTTATTTTTATATCAGCCGTTAAATGTCCACTACTGGACATAGGCCTCCCCATTGTGGGTTTTGCTAATATATGCCACTCTTGACACGGTGTCAAGAGTGGCAAATATTAACAAAACCCACTATGGGGAGATTGGAATTACAATTAGGCTGACTTTTAAGAGGGACGCTGCTGCCCATTTCTCGATCATTAAGTTCCCTTAGTTGCTTTTTACGACACTTAATACGGCGAAAAAAGAGGTGACCCATTCTGTGCCGGGATCACACGGAAAATATATTAAGTACATATTGCTAGACGAGAAATAAATAGCTAGTCGTGAAATAAATGAAATACGCAGATGAACAACGAAATTATTCATAGACAAATAAAACTGAAAAATATTTTAATTTAGAACACTAATCAAAACTATTAATATAATAACATTACAACTAGACAATATCTGTATATGGGAGATATAAAAAGACAGATATAAAAAGGTCAAAGGTAAATCAGTGGTCTTAATAAGGTCAATAAATACAATAATATTTTTAAAAAAATTGTTTATCCGTCTGCCTAATGTTTGGTCCGGCATCATGCAAAACTTACTGCACCAAATTGGATGCAGTTTTCATAGTTGTATTCATGAAAGTCTAACTTAAAAACACGTGTATTTTTTAAATTGATACGTCATCTAAAAGTGACATATTTCATTAGTTTCTCTACATTTAAAACCCATACGTACGAAGTAGCGGGCAAAAAGTTAGTCAATAATAATCTAGGTAAAGTCCAACTCCAAAGCCTAATTGCGGTTGTCAATCCACCTGCTAAGCGTGGCAACTACTGACAAAACCTCCCCAGAGGGGGAAGCTTATGTCCAACAGTGAAAGGTTAAGGGCTGATATGATGGTGATGAATGATCTAGGTAGCACTTTTTTTTAATATTTTTTTTTCTATATTTTATTTATTTATTTATTTTTATGTTGTTATTATTTTTAATCTAAGTATTTGAAAGTGTTATGGATTATTGAAATAAATTTTCATTCATTCATTCATTTACTTTTGCTTAATTACCGTTTATTAATAATTACGTTCATGTATTATAAATCTATATATTTATTAATGTAATCTTTATTTAATATTATAAATGTGAAAGTGAGTTTGTTTGTTTGTTACCTTATAGTGTCTTAATGTATAAACCAATAATTATGAAATTTGATAATTACCTACCATATGGAACGCATTGCAGGGAATCAATAGATTAAGGTAGCCCAGGAATATTCCTAATGCAGTCTAGGGGGGAGACTATATCCAATAGTAAACAGATCATGACTGAAATGATGATGATGATTATACCATATAAGATGGAGAAAGACATAGCCTATTTTTTAACCCAATCAGTAAACATATCCCGGTCACACAAATAAAGTCACGGGTAAAAGCTTGTAACTATATAAAACCTCTTCTGATCCGCATCTTATTATACCTACCTAATGTTTAAAATCTTAAAACGCCACAAAAAATGAGATCACTTGGCAACGAAGTTTTATTATGATTTTTTTAGCATAGATACACATTTATTTAAAAATGGGCGACTGCAGGTGTTATATCGGAATTAATTAGTTTTTTTTTATACACATACCAACAATAAGTACTAATTAATGTTTTTAATTCGAGCAAAAACCTTATGTAACACGTTCAATAAATCAGTAGTTTAATATTAAAACAACTTTAGTCCCATCCGACGAGTTAATTTACATCATATTTGAATACATAATGTGCGGTTAAAAGAAAGAAAACCTGTTTGTGGTAGCAAATAAAAGCATAGATCACAAACGGCTACATTTTATGAGTAGTATCTCATCATACCTGCTCTGTACAGCATAAGAAGTAATTGTATTGTAAAATATTTATAGTACACACTTTACTTTGGACATATTAAAAAGATTTAATATACCGCGGTGGACTTATCCTTATGAGGGATCTCTGACAGTCAATCTTTGAAAAGCTGAAAGAAAACTATAGAAAGAGTAGTAAGAGAATAAAAATTTTACAGATAAAGATAAAATTAAATAAAGATCAATTTTAAGCAATCTTTAAATTATACGATATCTGTATATTGAAATATTTAAGAAAAAATCATATTAGAAATCTTAATACGACCACCAATAGAAGCTAAAATAATAATATTAAATTTTTTTAATTGTCTGTGAAAATGGAAATGGATGAAAAAAAGAAAAAATGTTAATTTAAATAAAATACAACATTAGAACGTATGCCGTATTGTGTGATGCCGGCATAGCAAGGTCCACCCCTTCCTTTCCCCGTGGGTATCGTAAGAGGCGATTAAGGAAACTTAATGGTTGTGAAATAGGCAGCAGCGTTACTATGGCAAACTAATAAAGGGGGGAAAGGGATTGTTAGTAATGGAGACTAAAAATCTCATTTCTAGAATTATACCCAACCAGGTCGACGTCCACGCGGTCTCCCCTCGAAACTATCATGGTTAATGTTTGAGGAATTCTCCATGATGGACTAACTGGCCTGTTTTCATTCTCACCTATCACTCTTCACTGGTATACCGTATACCGTTAGCGCAGGCGGGTTGCCAATCTATTTTCACCATAAAAAATAAACACTAACAAAATCCCACAAGGGGAGACTTATGTTCATCAGTGGACAGTTAACGGATGATGTGATGATGATGATTATACCATAAGGTCTGTATGTTTATTTCGGCATCACGTAACAGTTATCTATTATTATGTACATACCTTAGTATTGAGCGTGTGTGTGGAAAGGAATGAACAGAGAAGAACGATCGCTGACAGCCAGTGGGCCGACACGCATTGTGTCGACTCCATATTGCCTGTGAACAAAAAGAAAACAAAATAAGTATCTAATCTATCTGTATCCTATTTAACACTTTATTGTACAATACAGATACAGTAGGCCTACCATGAAATGATTTCGGAAATTTCAGAGACGAACGAAACAGAAATTTGATGTTAAAATTACATAATACATGCCATTTAAAATTATTAAAAATGTTAAAATATCGTTCCCCTGGACTATTAGGATACGATATATGATGAACGAAATGTTAAGCTCCATTTACTGGCTCGATTTCGATGCGAACAAAAACACGAAATTGAGCCCGAACATTCGGAATTTCATTTCATGGTAGACCACCAGATTTCTTAAGTTCTGATAATAATGGCCAGTCAATATCTGGAACATTAAATTATATTACTCATTTTATGAGATGACAAATATTACAAAAAAAAGTTTTTATTTTTCTTAAATATTTGTATTTTAAATATATCTAATAATATTAATTATAATACTTATATTAGAAATGTAAAAGTTAGTTTGTTTGTTTAATTCGAATTTACAACATCCTCCTTTTCTCAATTAAGTTAAAAAAATAAATGCAATGATGTTTCATTAACGTCAGAAAATAAGTACGACTTAGCATAAAACATGCAAGTAACATGTCCGCAATCAGATAAATTAAGAGAAGATACCACAACGGACCTCCGGAGGTGTGAACGTTTAAAAAATATTTTGCAAAAATAAAGTAAAAAGATCATGTTACTTTGAATAAAATGTGTACCTATATAAGATTTTCCACTTCCATTCCCGTGGGTGTCATATGAAGCGAGTGAGGTAACTTAATGATCGAGAGATGGGCAGCAGCGTTCCTCTTCAAACATCACCAAAAGCCAAACTGCAGATGCCAATTCCACCTACCAGGTATAGTAGCTACTGGCAAAATCCCCCCAATGGTAAACTACAATAAGGAAAGGTCTTGTTTCTTATGGCAGTCTATGGAATAATACCTGAATAACACCTGAGTCCTTAGGAATGGCAACGCATGGGGGGTATCATGGCCGAAACAGTATATTCTGTTATGTCCATGGTACTGCTCATGTCTATAGGCGACGGTTACCACTTTCTATCAGGTGGGCCGTCAGCTTGTTTGCCATTCTAAGTTGTATAAAAAAAAAAATGGAGGATGCCTACTTTCAGCAGAGGGTAGATAACGGCTGATACGATGATAAGAAGATTTTAATGCGGTTATATTTTCATCATTGAATAAATATTTACAAAGGAGTTAAAAAATATTCAAAAGAAGCAGAGACTTGCGTACTATTACATATATATCGAAATTATAGTTGTGTTAATTTTTTTCTCATATCAACAGAATGTGTCTAACTAACTGTCAAGTTAGTATGAAAGACTCAACATTATTTGACGTTTTTTTTTTACTTAAATTTTATTGAAAAACAGTATACACTAATATGGGTAAACCTCTTAAAATTCAATATAATCTTTTATATTACCAATTAGTATTACTTGTGTGGAAACAACAAAAAAATAGACAACTGTAGTCCTTTACCGACCCGGGTTGACCATAAACAAATAAAAAGCGAGTGCCGGGGTCGACGCACTGGCTGCAAAAGTACAATGTCTCTTCCCAGAAGAAGCCAGTACGAAATAAATACGAATATAAGTATACAAGCGTTTCCGCGTTCGACCGGTTGTAAGGGCATCCGATCGATATAGTTATTGATTCACCTGTACTCGCACATAAAATGTAAGAAAAATAAAAGTACCTTTATCTGATCGGCTATTATGATAATAATATACTTATGTCTTCCTTTTATGGGCAGGAACTCATGCCTGAGTGGGATTTAGGTGTTGAATTTAATAGAATATTTTTTTAACCAGTAAACGTAAATTTAAACATCTTTGAATTGTCATTATTTTGTGATTCTACCACCCAGTTCAAAATCTAATTGTAGTTGAGAAGAATGAACAAAAAACAGCTGTCGCTATTCCAAAAGTTGAATTTTACAAGTTAGAAATTTATGTAAATACTAAGCAATATCATATTATAAAATTTGCATAGAATTAAAACAAAAAAAAAATTATTTGAATAAATTTTATAAATTTTACATTATATAAATATTATATATAAGTATAAATTATAAAAATATAAATAAAAGTTAAGGTATTTTTAGTGTGTAATTAAAACAATATAACAAAAATAATTGTAACTTAAATAAAGATTGTACAATACAATACAATTATTTTACATAATTTACATTATAACGATCTATTTGCAAGAGTTCATTCATTCGTTCATTCAATGTTGACAGATAAAGCCAATGTTGCCAAACTTTAGTACCACCGGTTTTAAATATTTTATTAACTATAAAAGCATAATACAATTTACATATTTCTTGTATTATTCTAATTATACGTATAACGATTTCATTTATAAGTGTAAAATCCATGTTCATCGAGATATAATTTTATGGGGACCATGGATTTGTTACGTTTGATGGTTACTAGGGTTGTAGTGTAAAAATAAAATAAAATTAGCTAGTCTTTTCTTTCTTAATGAGAGAATTATAAATTAGCCTATACATTACAATTTTGTAGTCATTATAAATATATGTATGTCTGAAAAATCTGAAGTAATTATAATGTAGTATAATATTATATTATAATCTATATTAATAAAAATTAATCGCTATATTCAAAACCTGAGAACTTCCGACGAAACCCCAATTTTTTTTATCTGTCACAGTTCGATACTTTTTGATAGAACGACATCTGTCGGGTCAGCTAGTATTTAAAAAAAAAAACAAATGAATGTTTCTACCCCAATAGGTTACATGCACATATACATACTCGTAAATGTGTGTGTTTATTTAAAAATATCTATTATTTTACTAAACATTTATCGCGACTTTATTTAAGCGAATTTTTTTTTTTTGTTCTTGTTCTTTCCCATTTGTGGAAATTTCGAGAGATTATTTTTAATCAAAACTTTCTTCTAAGAACCTTATAAAGATTGTAACTTCTGAAAATTCGACAGTATTAGGCCACGTGACAATAAACTGTCCTCTTTTATCTATGCTTTCAGTGCCAATTTGCTGGGTAACCTATTTTAATCTGTAAAGGTGTTATAAAATAGATAAAAAATTACTGGGCACGTATTGCATAATATACCACATAATATACTGCAGACTAATAAACTCCTTTAATACCTTTTTTTTTAATTCCTATATTTTTGTTTTAATTAACCAACTCTCCTTGACAAATTGTAAGAATAAGATGTTCCATATGATTTATTACAAATATCCATATATTTTTTATTTCTATACAAATATGGCTCTTATTAATGGAACGCTTGAAGCTATAATTACTTGCCTTCGTCCGCCATAATTCATACGTCAATAAATAATATTGATGTGAATACTTATACATAAATAATGTTTTTAAATTTAATTTAATCAGCGTTACTGCGTGCTGATACCATATATGCAACAAGCCCTGACACTACGGACAGACGGAAAGAACTGCCGACCCCACGCGACGCGCCGACACGCACGATGCCTGTTTTATCATAATCATGGTTAAACCTCGTTAAACGATACAAGAAATTTAACTCTAAACGAAGGTAAAATATTTTTAAATTGTGTTCCAAAAAAAAATTAAATGTGGCCAGTTATTCTAATTTTAAAACTAAACTATTTCAATGATTTTGATATAATTTCTATGAAAGTATATCTTTTCAGGTAAAAAAAGAGTTTTCCAAATCAGTTTGTAAATGAAGGAGTTATGTACAAATATAAAAAATACAACTGAATTGAGAACCCTTTCCTGTTTTAAAATCGGTTGAAAAATGAAGATAACATATTAGATTGTAAGATATTATTTTAGGAATGCATATATATAGCTATCTGTGTAAGTAACACGTCTGTCTTTATATGTGATATTGGTACCTGTGCTATCGATATACACTGGCGGGTTACCAATGAATAATAGCGAGGATGAAGTCAAGTCAGTGACCTATTGTGGCGAATTCACCAAAAATTACAACGTCTAACTTCTGTTTAAAATTGCTACATCACTCAGGGTTTGCAAGCAATAGATACCGCAATGAGAATATACTCCTTGCTCAATGGCAGTATCACATGAGTCATATTATATTGTAAAAATTATTTGTAAATGCAAGGAGAATAGTGCCAATCCTCCAACCTACGTAGAAAAGAAGGTTTCTAAAGGAAAGAAAGATACATTTTAGTGGCATTGCTTCAATTTATTTATTCTTTTAATAAATATGTATGTATGTTATATGTAGTAACAATATTTATACATATTTTAGTAGTAAATGAACCGCCTACTAAATTTTCTGTTTGCCTCACGGTTGACTAGTAGAGAACATCATTAGATGTTAAGTCCGCCATATGTATACTTACTTATATTATATATAAGTAAGTATACATATGGCGGACATATGCATTTATTTAAATAAATAAATGTAAACGTAAGGTTTTAATTGATTCTTTATAAAGAGGACATTGTTTGTTAAAGATGACTGTATATAATATTTTATTATAGCCATAAACTGTCAAAAAATACCTATTAATATGATTTACTTATTTATTTTGTTCTCAAGGAATTATTATTAACATATATAGAAAAATAATATATCACGGTGTTTGTGGTGGAACTCGTCTGAAACAAGTCGGCAGATTTTTATAATATTTTTTATGTATATTTGTTAGGTATGAGAATATGTCGTAAAGTATATTTTATACCGCTCGGTTATTAGACAATAAAATATTAGAAAATATTTATATACAGAACAACTATAAATAAAAATATAAATAAAAACAACTAAGAGAATTCAATTATTATGTTTGTTTTAATTATTTTCTTTATTTACTTACAAATTAAATTGACAATAAATAATTCTATATTATTCACAGTTTAAAAATAAATAATTCCAACTTTATAGTCAATTTGTGAATGCTATGTCGTGAAATCAAATAATAAATGTTTAAAATC